GATCATAAAGACAGTCCATGAAGTACCTTCACTTGATATAACTGTTTGTTCGATACCTAATTACTGCGATCGTTAAGTATTTAGTTCAAAACGTTGTATTTATTAAACGTGTAGCCTATCGTATTGATGAATGCCAGTATAGTCAAAATCACCAAAGATGACTATTACGACATACCATAAATTTTGCTGAAGTAATCAATGGACGTATGTCGATGATAAAATAACGAGACAGAACCATAATGACAACAAATTTATATTATGATCTTGCGAAGTTAGGTTATTCCACTGATTATTTTTATTTCCATTTTATTTCATGGTTTTGAGTGATACCTTAATAATAATTTTAGAGGGGAGTTTTTGTTTTGAAAAAAACAGTTATGAGTAGACTACCTCAAGACAGGAACTCCAAAGACCAAAGTACTATTCGAAGACCTGCTTCAACATAACCTAACTATTCATCATTCAAATATGATCGATCATGCAACATGGAATCATCGTCTATCTTTGTCGGATACATGCAAGTTAGCAATACAGCTTGTTTAGACAATAAAATTCTATTTGTCTCTGTCTAACTTATGAGAAACTTCATTAAATATATTCACAAATCGCTGCCCTTTGTCTTTACTACGGACTAAAGTGATGACGTAATCGTCATCTTTCGTGATTTCAACTATATATGTATATAAAGATACGTTGATACATTGATGCCGGTATATACGAGTTTATGTAATGTTTCTTTGCTTGGTACCGTTCTCCGCCACTGCAAATGAAACGTTGTATTGTGTCAGCAAGCAGTAAGCATCGTGTCGGTCGGTCCCCTTATTAACACCGTTTTCGTACAAGAGGCAAGATAACCAACAGAAAGTCCAAGAGGGGGAAAGGAAAGGGTGAGAACATCGCCAAGGGTCTTAGCTGGGCAATTAACATCCCTGAGGGAGTGTTATGATGACATTTATACTTTGCGTGGTTATGGGTTTTGTACAATTCTTATTTTGAGCACTGTATATCGGCCTTCACTTTTCCGAGTCTTGTTTTAGTTCTACATGTAAGAAGATTTGTAGGGTCGTATTCTGTGATCGATAGTGTTTTGAAGCCCAATGGGCTACAAGACTGTTCGTTGCAATTCTTCGACGGAAACGACTTTTTTAATACAAATGTTTCTGTGTCTGAAAAATATACCAGGCAGCATACAACCACAGGATAGCTACCCAGAAGCTACATTCAGGCAAAATTCGCAATACAATTGTCAGCATTAACACAAAAGTGATCGGCTGAGGCAGGTCGCCCGCACTGCCGTATCCCAACTAACAATTATCACTCCTATTAGAGTTGCAAGAATGATTATACAGTATTCCTTGAACAGCATTGTATACTGTAAGAACATTAGCAAAACCCTCTTAGAACAGCTATACAAGCGAAATGGGCACACCCAAAAGGACACTTCAGTCATTTAAATAAGGGCTACAGGTAACAGTTATAAAAGTGTAAGCCTCTTACAGCCGCTATAGGACATTTGCGTCAGTGCAAGATTCAGTTTTTGTCAACTATACAACTATTATGTTACGTGATTCTACTTTATTGCCACCAAACTATTTCTTATGTATTGTATAGACGAAGTGAAGAATATATAACTAACACAATACAGTCATCTTGTTTACTTACATGTCGGTCATTGTGAATCTCATACACAGGTATATGATAAACTTGAATTACTTGCGCAGCAAATTTTATTGTGATTATCGTGCAAAGTAGTTACGCAATTTCTACGGGCTTCGTATTTGATTCATACTTTGATAATGATCAAAAGTATGTCTAGATTTTTAAGATTGCAAACTGAACTTATCTGCGTTAAATCTTCCACAAATCCTATATTTAGACACAATTACACTAATGTTTATCACTTTATATCTATAATTCCGAACTGAAACATAATTATTTAATATTAAATATAGGAATAAATGTTTGCCCAATATGGTGGGTGGTTGTGTACAATCATGGCATCGTCCATGTTGTCTTTAGGTTATTAGAATATTTTGGTCTTGTCTGCAGGTGTTATACAACAATTTGACAAATGTCTGAAATGAAATACCGACTGATTCACCCAGAATTTGTACCAGATCTATATCTTCTGTTTGAACAGTAGATAAAACCTTTTGAACCAATATGCATGCGTTGTTTGTCTTAAAACATTGATTATGGCATTTCAGCATTTTACAAAAATATGACAGCAGAAAGTTTGGTAATGGTGAAGTTGTTTACCAACATATTTAGCATATGTACAGCCTTTAACAGTTACTAAACAACAGTTGTATAAGTGCTTCCGTTGGGAGCAACTTGTTGGCTAAAGTAGTAAATTGCACAGCAAAACAACAAGGCTCGGGTTTGTTTTATAAACGTTACCATGGATGAAACAACACAACCATTTTGACTAACGTGCAAATATGCCGTATAAAATAGTTGTATAAACGTTTATGCAAAAGTTAAAAATTTGCCCTATAAGGTGTTGTATAACTATGCTACAAGAATAATTTTAAATACTTCATTTTAGAGCAAATATGCTGCAGAAAGCAAATCTGCATTCCACACAACATTAAGCCAGCATTTTTGTGTTCAGGCAACAACAATAGAGAGCTTTTATGGCTGAACGGTTCTTTTACCAAAAGCTTATACCACTGCTTTGCAAGCAGCGGTATATCGTCATGTCCGATTTGTACCAACTTGTATATAGTCTTTATAGACATGGAAATAAGCGGTTAATTTACTAAAAGGATTGACTCGCTATCGGCGGGAAAAAGTGATTTGTGCATTTCATGAGGCACAATGCATCAACAAGATTATCGAGTATCATGTGTATCTGCTCACTATGTAATCCTATGGTCACTGGGTCTGAATTGAGTGTTTTTTCTTATACTCCAGCTACAAACATTTCTCTTGGGATGGGATTCGAAACCTCGCAGCGCACGGCGACTGATCAGGAGCGTCTACCACTGCGGGTGAGAGTTGAATATAAACATTTTCACAAAGACACACCTTTCTATATGTTAATATTCTGACAGATTTTTTGATCCTACCCGCAGTAAATTTATTTGTTTATATTTTGTGAAACAACGAAACTATTTCTGAGTATTTTACAGGAAATGAATAGAAAAAGGAAGATCCAAGCAGGTTGCTTCAGCGCTCGCCACACATTAGTATCTATACAATCAAATTGTGCAAATAGGGTAAACCTCTACAATATGCCCCAGCGGGCAATATGCCCCACAACGCTGTCGCTCAGACAGAGATAGACAACCGGTTGCGACGCGCATGTAATGAAAACGGTACCTCTCCGACTTGACTGCCGTGAGAGTGTTATTTTTGCATTTAATTTTAAATTATAGTATAATCTTTAAATGCGACCTTGAGACATATTGCGGTGAGTACTGTACAAATTATTAAATATGGTGACCTATTTTTTGTATTAAAAATACATTTAGGAATATGGAAACAGTGATAGATAACCTACAATTGTACGTGTTACACACAGTATTAAACCTTTCACGGCGGCCATGTTTACCCTGGGGAAGAAAAACATTACGGGCGACCTGGTCCGAAATTGATCTTAGTTAAGCTATGTAAAAAGTGCGACTGAAGCAAATGGGAGTAAATGAAGCGCCACGAACGTACAACATTTCTTCAAGAACGCTTGGACGACATCCTTTGTCTGGTAAATTAAATGTTCCACTTGGAAGACAACCTATTTTTACTGAAGAGGGAGAGAAGAAGTTGGTGGTGTACATCCAGAAATTAGAAAAAGTTGGTTTTGCCCCCGATCGCAAAGGCGTGAAAGAAATGGCTTATCAGTTAGCTTTAAAGCTTGACAAGAAAGATGCTTTTTCGCAAGCATTAGGAAAAGCTGGTGCCGTATGGTTCGCTGGGTTTTTCAAAAGAAACTCTTAGAGTTTATCATTTGCCAGCGCATATGGAGTTAATCGAACGGATGTTCATGATTTTTTCACTTTACTGGCACAAATTTATGCTGGAAAAGATCTCAGTTCACATCCAGGTTAAATATTTAATATGGACGAAACTGGTATTCAGGTCAATAATAAACTAGGAAAGATAATTGCAATCAATTTTTTCCACCCGTTTTAATTTACAAGGGTACCTTTAGTAAGCCTCAATTTGCAGTAGGTTTACCCCCCAGGATCACAAGTATTTATGAACAAGAAGTCTTCCTATATGAACACCGATCTTTTCATGAAATTGTTTGAAGTAATATTTCTGCCGGCTAAAGGCACTAGTAAAGCCCTATTTGTTATGGATGGGCACAGTTCTCATTATAATAACATAAGGTTACTGGAAGTGGCACAAACTAATGATGTGGCTTTATTATGCCTTCCTAGTCACACCACACATGCTATGCAGCCTTTGGACAGAGCTTTTTACATATCTTTGAAAGTTTACTTTGCTAAAGAAGTCAAATCATGGATGGTGATGAACAAAGACAAGAAACTTGCTCGGTATGATGTATCTAAGTTGATACGCAAAGCTTGGGGGAAAGCTGCAAGCATCGCAAACCGCGTTTCTGCTTTGATATTTTGTGGAATTTACCCCTACGACTCAAATGCTATTCCAGAACACTATTTTTCTTTATCTGATGCTCTAAAACATCAAGAGTTAGTTGCAAATGAGTCTAATGAGGAAGATCAAGTCATGTCATTTCCAGTGCATGGGGATAATCAAAATACTTTGGAGCAAGAAGATATCAATCCTTCAGAAGTACTATCAGCAGATACTTTACTAGAAATTCTGGGAGGTGATCATCATAGATTTGACGAAGAAGAGCCGCATACTAGTATTGAATTGTCAGAGCCAGATATAGTATCTCGTGAGCCATCAATTCAAGTAACGCCTCCCAAACGTCCGGAGATACTTGCCAATTTCCTGAAGAAAAAGAAACGCCAACGAAGATTTTGGATAAAGTACACCCTGTACCGAAGCTACCTACCATGACAGAAAGCTGTTATTTTGACGTCAGCAGAAAATATACAAAAACGGAAAATTATTGAAATTGAAGAAAAATCCTGCGAGAAGTTCTGAAAAAACCAAAGCACGTGGAAAAAATAAAGCTTCAGAGAAACCGATTAAAATAAAGAACAAAGAAAATGATAAAGCAAAGAAAAAGAAACAAAAAATATGAGTCATCAGAGAGTGAAAGTGACGAGGAAGAAAGCCGAAATAGTTCAGATGATGAAATATCCGAGAAAGATGAAAACAGGTGTCAGGAATGTACGGAAAATTATTATAAGACGACTTCTAAAGAAGATTGGATAAAGTGCCTACCTTGCTCTTTTTGGATACACGAGTTCTGCATAATGTACAAACCGCTTTGTAATAACTGTTGCAGAAAAGCTAAGAGGGAAGCTATTAGAAATAAAAAGAAGAGTCAACCATGAGAGAGATATGATGACTGTATTAGGATTATAAAGTTTGTTTCAACGTAATAGGTATCTAATAGTACGAGAATAAAAGTTATGTTGTTTTCAAGTTTTGTTTCTTTTATGAGAAGGAGAGAGGTACCATGACTCTTTCCATTTCATGTAAAATATTTTTTCTAGGTTTTGCTTATTTTATGGGAAATATAACCGATAATAAAAATTGTTGTTTTTTTATTATTCCGGAGCATTTTGTAACAGAACTGAGGCATTATTTTGTCAAGGGATGACAATAAAAAACGCCGCACCTAAAGTTTAAAAAACAATTACATTGTGCTCCATCGAAAAGTATTTGATGGCAAACATAAGTGCCATAAGATTAATAGATCACCGCTCCTTTATTTATTCTGTAATACTCCAGTAGTAACTCTAACAGCTAGGATTTACTGTACTTTAAAAAAAAAGCGGGACATATTGTAGAGGTTTACCCTATCTTTACACTCAACTTCATAACATGCGGCTCGGAGACATCTCAGCCACATAGAGATTCTAAGCGTTATTATTAGTATGACTGTAGTATTAGTTTTTATTTTTAATAAACCCAAACTTTTTGGGTGCTTTATGTTTATTGTGCGCAATATTTGATATTTACCTGTATTTTGTGACAATAAAAATTATTATTATTAGATATTATATGCAGCCATGGAAGCCATTCGATGTTTCAGAATTTTCTACTATGGCCCGAAATAACCAGAAACGAGAAAAACGTCAAATATCAAACTTTCGAACTTTTTATGTGTCGATCCCCAAGAACTTTTGTAGTAAGCGAAAAAATAGCAACATTCAAGTTTTTGACGCTCTCAAATTTTCCCTTGCTACTTGTCCCTGCGCTTTTTGGTGAAAGCACTTAAGGTATTCTATAATTGGCACTACAGTTGTATTATGCCAAAATTGCATTATAAACCTAGCAGTAATTGCTTTCTTGTTGAAGCTACTTGAAAATATTTCGACTCAAAATAGTCATACACGCGCACGGAGACCCTGACTGATCCATGATGTAATTAAGAACTTCAATGCTAATAAATATACAGGTCAACGCAGCTAATAGCGCTGAAAACATAGTTCGTTCCTGTATCGCTGAGTCTGTATGGCTCGACAGCTCGGGCTCTTGGTGCTGAGAACATGTGCCGCCATGCGTGCATGTAAAATCCACCTGTCTCACAAATTAATAGTAATTTCATTCACCCTATACTTACAGTGTAATATTATGCAGCATTAGAAAGTATCCAGCCCATCCTGTTGTACTCAAGCTTCAGTGGAGAAGTCATCCAGTATACTCAGGCGACTGAAATAGACTTGAAAACCTGGTCTGCTGGAAGGTCGCCACGACAAATATATCAAATAAGGAGCGGAGGGACCGCAAATAAAATCAAACAAGTTGTGGCCGGCCTCAAATTTCCTCCGCACACATACGAAACGAGATAAGTTCACTCATGCAAAACGCTAGAACACCATACTCTGTTTCTTGATGTTGGCTATCTGCACACTTATTTCGTCGTGTGTTTGGTTGGTGGAGTTGCTTACACTGGGAAAAATTCTGTCATAGTTCGAAATGATTGCACGGCAACTGTTTTCTTACTAAGGTCTTCAATAGGAAAGACGAGCTATTTTTGTTATCGCTTTTATTTCAAAGAATTTCAAAGAGGATGGCCTATGATATATTGAAGATTTAAAGAAACTACTTATTCGTATCTATTACTCCCCACTGGCGGGGAACTATTGTAATCGGAAATGAGATATGATGTTTCTTTTCCGTCGGTATCTCTGTCCGTTAATCCTTGGCCAGTGCATAACCTGCAAAGTACGGTTTGCTCTTTGATGCAATTTTATATAAGGTATGTAACTACAATGCCAAGGACGGAAAAGCTTTGTAGCTTTTGAAAAGCGGTCCGGTGTCGACCAACAGTGAAAATAAAAAAAAATCGCTCATACTTCGATTTTCGACGTTTCAGAGGGGTCTGATGACTTTTAAAAAGAAATTCCATTGGGTGACGGCATTAGGGCTCTAGTTATTCACCAGTTGTCAGCGAATATAAAGATATTTTGTGAAATGAATAACTCGTCCATTTTAGTACCTTTTGGTCAAGCAAGTTATATCTGGGCGTATGGAAGTTGGCCTCGATTACTTCAACAGGGAGAAAAGTAAATTCACAATACTTCTTCGTCAGTCGTAGTCATTATAGCAACAGTAAACCCACCAGAACCTAAGAAGGTTGACTCGAATACTATAAATAGTACTCAAAGCCCATGATTTCAATTTTCCCAAATCAGCAATTTCCTGTTCCAGTGATACTTAATATAGATACAATTAGGCACAGAAACATGAGCTAGATAAACAATTAGTGAAATATTTGGATAATGCCACCGACGCTATGCCTAAAAGTATCCAAGAACGCCTTTAGGCGAAGCAGTCAGCTGAGCATAGCTACCAAAATAGTTGACCATGACCCCAGGTATCATGGCATATCACTAATACCGATTCGTGGATTAAATGATGTTCCATTGTAGTGACTTTCAACTAGATTGAATAAACAAGCTTGGAAACGGAGATATTATGTTTCTTGGATTTCTGTGAAAACCGGTACAGTGATGGCGGGGGACCTACAAAAAAAGAAAATAATAAAAATCACTTAAATTTCGTTTTGAGGTTTGAGAGATGCCTGCTCATCTTTGGGAACTTTCCAATGGGTGGAAAGTTTAGAGTGGTAGCTTGCAGAATATGAGAGAGGGTATACTTCAAGCCTGAGGAGTTAATAAATTTACACGCTTCCAACCCCAGTTATTCCTCGCGCCCACCACTCTTATTTCGCATAGATTTCCCTGTATATTTGCCGTCAACGCTTCGAATGGTAGACGCATTTCTGATACCCGCGTCAAGCACAACAAAAATAAGCTATACATTTGTCGCAAGCTAACGAATGTTGCTGGAGGTTCACTCATCGTAACTCGGACCGCAACGTTGTCGGATGGTCAATAGGACAGATGAAAAATTAATAGATCGCAGCATTGTCAAATGGATGGGGACTTTGTTATAATCTTCTATCAAGTGGTAACGGGGCTGCGCAAGAAGCGCTGAGTCGAACTGCCTGACGACATTGACGCCATTCTTAAAGTATCGATTTAATTCACATAAATAATATTTTGCGTCTCCCAGACAACGGCAAAGACCAGTAAGACGTATCTACTTTTTTCCGAGAGTCACATTGGTCTATCCCAGTATTAGATTCGAAGCAGTTCAAGCAAGGAGCCGTAATTCTCAAATATTGCAAAAATCAAGAGAAACCAAGACAGTCCAAAGAAATCTCAGGCGATCCAGAGAGATCGGAAAACATATCTGTGGATTTTCAAACAGATCCAAGAAAATCCAAGGACATCTGAGGAGGTTCAAAGACTCTCATGAAAATCCAAAGAAACCCGAATCAAGGAGATCTTGAGTATTAATAAAGTGTCGTTAGTTTTCGGGCAGTTTTAGCTAACAGTTATTTCTCTTTGTGTAGTGATTTGTTCAGGGTGTAGGCGGTCTTCTTATCTGTCCACCATTTCCCTATTCCTCGGTTGCCTCTGTGTGTGTTTGTGTGCGGTCCGCGGTCATGTTTGCCTATTTGATGGTCGACGTCGCGGTCCCTAGGGCCCCGCTGGCAACTTCCAACTTAACAGGCAACCGTAAATTCAATCCCAGACAATTTTTCAAAAACTTTCGCAGGCCGGAAAGTTTTTGTGTTCCGCGCTACATTTGTCATTTTATATTTTGACCGGCATCTCTGGGGAGCCATCAATCACGCGGCCGGGACGCTCAAGAACACGCACGGAATACCACGCCGAATGTTCTTTTCGCTTCCTGGAGGAATTTACGAGCTTACATGGATTAGCGATGGTTACATTCAGTTATTATTCCAGTAAGACAGCAAAAAGTTTAAGAGCCCACGTATGTACTAACTAAATGACTCATAACGTATGTTCTTGCTATAATAATACTAAGACTACCTACATACTGACTCTTGAAGAATATTTGTGATGACTGAGTTGAGGTGTGAATTGAACCAGCCATTTTTCGATGTACTCTGAAAAAAGGTAATTACATACCTTATCATAAGTAATTTTGTAAGTTAACGTTAAAATATTGTATACAACATAATATACTGTATATGCTTTAAACATTTTTTTTCGATATATCCAGAATTCGTTGTGTATACAGGGTGCAAAGTTAGTAGTAGATCAACAAAAGTCAGGTGATAGAGGGCCTCAAAATCTATCGAATGAATCCCTATATGTGTGGTCCGAAATTTTAAAGTTCAGGAGATATTTGCAACTTTATGAAATTTCGATAAAAGGGGGATAATGAGCTTTCAATCGCAATTACAACTAAACCAATAGGTTTAGGGCTGTAATTTTTTCTGAGATGTGCTGAATGGCTAATTTTAGCAATGGTTATGTCACTTTTTAACAGAGCTTATTAGAAGTCAACGCAAAAAATCTTAAATTCATTTTTTTCTGAAAAATCTCTTCCATCCTTCAACTTTAGTGTGCGAAAAAAAAATTGTGGTTATATTTCATTATTCATTTTATTGTGAAAATTATTTCCATGTAAAATAAGCCTTAAACATTTCAGCTTGCTACGATGAGTGCATCCTGTCACATTCGTTGTTGTGATGCGATAAACGTAAGAAAAGCAATAGAATCCTTATCACCTACAAGTACAGAATCTATTGTGTTTAGCCTCTCTTTGTGGCGATTTACCGACAAATACCTATGGAAGATAATTTAATTTAACTAGCTTTAAAAGAACATGTTCGAAATGGACCCAATTATTTTTAAATTACTATTTCATAAATTAATGTCGAACTAACAGTGAAAGTTGTGTCGAAGAATAGCGTGTGGATTTTCCACGGTTCATGAATGCTAATTGTGCATTTTGAATGATACATTTCGGTTAAAGTTGGATTCATCTGTCCATAAGATGG